CTCTCTCTCTCTCTCTCTGGCCCTCCACCACTCACGCTGTCCCTGTCCCTCTCAAAAATAAATAAATCAACTTGAAAAAAAAATACATAACCCACAGTTTTCTATTTCAGGACTTTCATTCCAAGGTAATCAGGACACACAAAGTTAAGAGAGGGAGGATGCCAAGGTTATCTTGTTGAAGAGAAGATACCGCAGTGCTGACAACAAAACAGACTTGAATGCGTACTGCATCCCACCCGGTACACAGGGACCCCATCGGTGTCACCAGACGCAGATGACACTCTTCTCTACGAACTGTGACGTATCTGCAGAAATCACTCGCACCTTTGGAAGTTATTATTTTTCTTTTTCATTTCCGAAACACTTCAGGTAGGCGTGATGCCAGTCCTGTGCGCCTGTGCAGGTTTAAAACCTTATGCAGACACTTCCTGGTGCTTCAAATACTGTAAGTCAAGCCCACCTTACTACCACCAGCTGCCTCTTCAAGACCCCAAAGGGACAAACTAGAACTTCCCTTCTCTTTCAAAACAAGCTGCTACTTCAGAAGAAACGAGGAAAAATAAAAAGGCCTTTCCTCTGTATTTTTTATAGAGGGATATACAAATATATAAACGACTGCTATTTATATAACTGGATATTCATTCCCTCCTCACATGCTCAGCACTCCCAACTGTGATTGTAAAAACGTACCTCTCTCTCAAATTTTCGTCCCTCATCTCAACCCAAAGTACTTCCTCTCACCCCAGGAAACTCTACCAGAGCAGTTCTTTTTGCAAATTTTGTATAATTATGCGGAGAAAAAGAAGGTGAAAGCCCCCCTCTCCCAAAGGTTTCTGCATACCACCTGAGCCCAAATCTTTCCCATCTCCTCCCTCCCTCTCCCTACCAGCGTGCATTTGGCTGATAGAAGGACCGATCCCTCCAAAGCCCCACTTTCTCATGGCATTCCTCTACTTAGTGATCAACTTCCTATCTCTGCTCTGTCCCATCCCAGGAAATGTCAGTCTGGCTTCCAAGGTCCCCCCTCTGTCAGAGTCCCCGCCCGGCCATCTGGGCTGGGAGAGCTCGCATCCCACACCCATTCACACTATCCAGCTTCCTCCTCCAGGATTGGCCTCCCCCTAGGCTACTCAACATTTCCACCCAATCTGCAAGGGCCTAGTGGCTCTGGTCCAGAGAGCACCACTCTGGGAGCACTACAGACACACAAGAATCCTGGATCCCTGTGTGTTTCAATACTTCTAGAAAAGCATCCTCTGCAGTCTGGTGGGGCTGGCCCATAATTTGGTAGGGAGAACTTAGTAAAAACTCAAACAGTGAATTAGGGTGACTAAGTAAAAACTACAAAGGGCAGGAAAACACATAACTTTTTGAATCATCAAGACTGAGATTTTTGGCAACTGAGTTACTAAAATAAATATTTTCGCCACTTGTAAATTCCTCAAGCAGGCTTTCTCCAACAATACACAAATCAAAAGAAACAAAAATACTCAAGTCCCAAATGCCCATGAAGCAGACAGAGGAAAGATAAGCGGAGCCCCCAAAAGGCCCTTTTGGAATACGGGTTCCTTGGGACCGTGGGCCATATACGTGCTGTGGTCCAAGGCATGAGCCAACATTTGGCAACAATGAGTGCACAGTCTAGACTGTGGCTTCCAAGAGGAAAGGTGTGTGCCTAAGTTATTTGTGAATTTCCAATGACTTGCACAGTGCCTGACACAAGAAAAACATTTAATAAATGGTTACTTAATAAAGACAGGCGTGTTTTGAACCTTAGATCCTAGCTTTAAAAAAAAAAAAAAAAAGAAGCAAACCCTATAAATGACATTTAAGGCTTATTTATAAACTCAATATGAAACATGAAATTTAATTCAAACAATAGAAGAAAAACCTTTCTTAAGCTTTTGGTGGAGCTAATTATCTGGAAATGTTGTCATTTACCTACTTTTAAATGTCTCCTTACCGTCCCAATCTAACAAAATCTGTTTCCTTTAGAGTAGGGGTTAGCAGACTACTTCAGAGAGCCAAAGCTGGCCCACCATCTATTTTCACAAATAAAATTTGTTTATTGCAAAACAGCCACATCCACCTATTACCTATATCTGCTTTCACACCACAAAGGCAGAATTGAGTATTTATGACAGAGAACTGACCCAGAAGCCTAAAATAATGGCTCTCTGGCCCTTTTACGGAGAGTTTGCTGACCCCTGCTTTGGAGCATCAGGTAACACCGAATAGCCAATAAAGTGTGTTTTATAAAATAACTCAGATGATTCACTGCCCTCAAGTGACTTACAAGTTAACTGAATACACTGTTTTACTTTTTGCTCATGATGGTTTTATTTACATCCTCAAAGCCAAAATCTACCAAAGACATGCCTCAAAAACTAATGGAAGTCAGATCATAAGGAATAGGGTTTCTTGCCACCTCGTGTATGTCATGATACCCTTAAAGCATGTCAGGGCCCTTAAAGATCAGAATAAATCCCATACAGTGAAGAAAAGAAAAGCAAATTAAAAAGAAGTTAAAAAGACACCAAAGCTATACAGATTGACCCAGGGAAGGCGGCCACACAGCATCGTCATCTCACCACAGACTGAGTCCGCGTGGTTTTTAACAAAAGGAGGTCTGAGAGACATGAATGAAATAGAACAAACCCTGGCAGACAGAGCAAGAGAACCTTCTGGGTCACTCACCCAGACCCAAGGGCGATCAGAGAGAAGTGCCCTTTAGGAAATACAGCAAGCCCAGCCCTACACGAAGGAGGCCGGACTGAAGAAAACACAAAGAGAACAGAGGCCCTTCCCCGTGATGAGTACCCATCACACCAGAAGGTCCACTCCACCCAGCCTAGGTAACTGGAAAGCAGCAAAACCCTGGAGCCCCCTGCACCCTCACAGCCTCCTCATTCTCAGGGCAAACGTCCCTCCTGCCAGCTGGGAGGTCTCCCCTTCCTCTGAAAGAAGCTGGTTTACTCCCACCGGCTCTATCGTCAGCCTTCTTCCGTCTACCCAAATTCCACCTGTCCTTCATGGTCACAGCCAAAATCCCAACCTTGGCGACCACTGCACCATCCACAAAGACCACCAGGTGGCCCACACCCCCGGAGCTGGCACGGGGGCCCCCGTGTTACATGATGTCTCCGTCAAGTGTCTCCCGTCCACATCACAGCGAGGCAACATCCCCTCTCTCCTTCCTAAAGCCGTGCGTGCGTCCCACAGCCCCGGCGGGACCGTAAGCTTCTAGAAGGCAGCTATATGTGTTTCCAATACAGAAGCCAATGATGACACTACCAGCAAGTGCCATTAGGCCGGTCAGGCCCCGTCCTCAATGCTTTGCAGTCACGATCTGATTTCATTCTCAACATAAGCCTGCGGGTGGCTGGGCATGATCGGCATTCTCCAGTGCTACAGTCAAGTGAAGAAGCTGAGACCAAACGAGTTACATTTGCTGGAGGCAAAAAGGCTAGCAGGTGGCTGTGCCACGATTCCAGCTGGAGCCCGCCTAGTCCCCGGCGAATGCCCTGAAGCTGTATCCTAACGCTCACCCAGGAGCTACTCGATGAGACTTTATCGAAGAGCGCCAGATGCCAAACTCTGGTTCAACTGCTGGCCGGACCTTCAGTCTTTCCGCTTCCTCCCTCAGGGCAGCCCGCGGGACGGCAGGCCCAGGAGGCCGGCCAATCTAGCATCCCTTCACCCCACAAACACAGAGACTGCACAAGTCCGTCAACGGTGAAGAGAACAACAGAGTCTTGCTTTACGCTCCACCGGGCAAGCGGATCGTACAGTCCCCAATTACTTTCCGCGCTCCCTTTTAAGAGCCAGGCCGTCCGTGTCGCCCTGTATGACGACGAAACTCATCATCAGGCTACCGACACATCCTCAACAAGAAACACACAGCGACGGAAAAGTAGGGCAGTTCCACTCTCACAGACGTGTGCAAGAAGGACTTTTCCAGAACCTCGGAGCTCCGGTCAATGGGGACACGCCTCTTTCCCTTCGCCCTCCCACCCCCATAGAGACAAAGGATTAGGGAAAACAGAGGCGCCCAGGTTCCCGTGCGGAAATGGGAGCTGCACACTTAGAAGCGCATGAAGAAGGTCCCCTATTGAGCTGGCTTCAAATGTCTAATTACATGCATGATGTAATGGCATGCATACGTGCTCTACCCCTGGTTTCTAATGAGGTTGGCAGGGAGACAGAAACTTGGCACTTTATTCTTCGTGTGATGTGCTTGTTTTTATGCTTACTGTAACAGCTTGCCGGGGGAGCACTGCAGAGAGAGTCTGACAGGCTTTAAAAGACGTGACGAGGAAGAACCGCTCCCCGTGGACGTTACGCACGTGGAAAAGGGCCAGGACCAGAAACTCCGTTAGGAAGAAGGGTTATCCAAGGTAAGCAGCGCCCTCCGTAAGGGGGAACCCTTGACGGCAACCCTCCCGCCTTCAGAGTACGATTGCGAGCTTGAACACCGGGGAGGTGCATGGGACAGGGGGGGAGCCACAGCTATGGGATCGATCTGAAAGCAGCTTTCAGCTTCCTTGCAAAAGTTTCCCCAGCCAGGGGAAGGATCCACGCCTACCAAACAAAGCGAGTGCTTCGGAGTCCCAGGCAAGAAAAATTCTCCCGATGAAAGAAACTTCGGTGAATCTCAGGCCCAGACCCTGGGAGGGCGGGACGCCAGCAGCTTATTTGAGAACGTGCCGCCTCCAAGCACAGCAGTGAGGAAGCAGTGAGAGGTGGCAGATGGGAAGGGGTGAGGGTGGGGACAGAAGCGCCACCCAGGCAGCTGTGGTGTCATAAACACGTAGCAGCCGATGGTGTAGACACGGGAGTCTCGAGCATCTGATTAACCGAGAAGCAGCTGTGGTAATTTGTGAACTGGCTTTGAAAAAAGATCCATCGCTTCTCGGCCTTTTGGCTGAGATCGAGTGTAAAAAAAGATCCCAGTACAGCATTATATTCAACCGTTGGGTAGGCTGTGACAATAGTCAATGGGCTAGGGAGGCCACCAGAGTGGAGACGCTCAGCCTTGGCCTGCTGGCGTGGGAGCACAGGGCCACGCTAGAGGCAGAACCAGATTATAATGAGGCCCTACCTGAGACTTCCAAGAAACATTCCCTACAACCGGGTCCAAGACAGATCCACCCAATATTTAAGTCCGGCCTTAACGAAGGCCTGTATAGACCCAGACTTAGTAATTTGAGTCTAAGCAGAGACTCCTAAAACTTCCAATGAGCTTGTTTGCTTGAACTCTCCCATTACAGCCCAAATAGAAAGGAGACGCCGTCTAATCACGTGGGCTTTTCAACTCAGCCCAAATATGTGGCAGATAAGGACCAGACGAAATTTCCCTTGCTAGCATCACATAAAGGAATCCCTCCGACCAGAATCACTTCATTATAATTCCTTCCTGCCAACCGATAATTGTACCATTCTACACAACATATATCATTCTGTGTCTGGTGTCCTGTAAGATTCTCAAGAAGTCATGGCTGCTTTGTCTCCCTAAATTGAGGGCCCACCTTTGGCCTCATTTGAGAACATCGATCTGTATGCAGCTGGTGCTTATGAGGAGGTGTTGGATGTGTGTTCAATGAGTGCTAAGTGTAATGTAACCCAAACGGCTTTGGAATTCTGTCTGAGCCTCTTCTCTGCCGCCGCCTACTTTTTCTAGGGCAGGGTAATGGAAATTAGTTCAAGAAACGGAAAAAGAGTGATTTCAGTAACTCCACTGAGCTGGTTTCCCTCGGGAAAAGGACAGCTAAACTGACTATTGCCAGAAAATAAACAAGTGCTGTGTGCCCTCTATTAGTTATTTAAATTTAGTAACACGCTCGCGGACAAACAGAAGGTGCTCGATCAGCTCCAGGGAGCACCAGCATACAAATGACCCGACTGTGTCTCAACTGCCTTCACACCTGTACTCAGAATTCTCTTTAGGGCTCAGCTGACATGGCAAAGTCTGAATCCAGTACAGACGGGGGTCTAGGGGTGTCTGTGGACACTGAGGGAAAGTGTGAGTTCTCTGGAAGCCATGTGTTCACACTTGGGGGCCTTCTCAAAATACACGTTCCTTGCTTGGTGCACGACGTTCTCCCTGAACTCTTTCCTTTACACGCTTTATCTTCCTGGCTTTTGTAACTCACCTAGGACCGCGTAACGAGGTGCCCACACAGCCACCTTACCAATATCGGGGAGTCCAGCGGGCATTGAGGGGAGAAGGGGTGCTAGTCTTTCCCTGGGAGCCACAGCCGCAGCCCCCCCACCCTCCACACCACTCCCAAACCACCACATCTGTCCCCAGGACACCGGACCCTCACCTGGCCTGGCGGCTCCCATCCCAACCCCGTGACGTCATACAGGCAACACTGCATTTTTTCAACCGGAGTATATATTACCCAAAGTATCCCTAGAGCGAGATTTCTTGCTTTTTCCACCCCCAGCCCTAACAGAAATAGCTCAGAAAAGAAAAACTGAAACCAAACGTTTATGGCCACATCACAGACTCTCCCTCCACCAAGGAAACCAAGGTCTACAGCGCTAGACCACAGCTCTTAAATCGAAGCATTGGTACAAGCTTCCCGAATGGATGAGGGAAACCAATTTTCACAGTAGCAGCGAACATGCGAAAATAGCGTTCTTGCAAAATTGAAGAATGTAGCCCGGCCCACACGCCCTAGAATACTAATGTGAGTAATTACACAGGTGGTTATGCAGACGCGGAATTCGTGCTTCAATCTGGAAGGAGGCTCAACATTTCCAGGATAGTTTGCGAGGTTCGATTACCGCGACCTGCTGGTTAATTTCCTTTATCTCTGAAAGAACTCCCCCCAAGTCAATCACTGTCCAAGGGGAAAGTCACTTCTAGAAACGTGTTCTACACAGGCAAGAATAAGGTACATTTACACTCCAGTGCCTCGACATTTGTAAGTCAAGAGCTGACCTGTCCAGCCGTGATTATTCTGTTGTGTCCTATAACTTCATTCGAACAAATCTTTCCTCTTCCAAACACTCATTTATTTGAAAAACCTCCATTATCTAACATGTGCCAAGCCCTAGTCTGAGACGCTGAGGCTACAGCAGTTAACGACATAGGCAACAGTCCTTGCTCTAAGGTGGGTTACATTCTACCAAGGGGAAAACAATGCAGGATCACATAAGTAAGACACAGGGCACGGCAGATGCCAATCAGAGTGTGATGGAGGAAAATAAAGCAAGTAAAGAGAATGGGGTGGGGGGCACAATTTTCAAAATATCAGGAGAACTACAGGGAAAAGGTAACATTGCAGAGACTACTTAGGAAGGTGAGGGAATGAGCCATGCCAGGTGGACGTCTTGGCAAAGGGGAACAGCGGGCTAGTTCAAAGATCCTGAAAGAGAGGCAAGTCTGGGGGGTGGGGGTGGGGGGGGGGTGCTGTGATCAACAAAAATCAACATTCTGCTAACTGCTTCATAAACTTGCTAAAAACTGCATCCCACGCAGAGATATCAAAAGACTTCACTCTGGCATTCGAGTTTTCTCTCAACTGTGTGATATCTGATGCTCCTGTGAGTCAGAGACATGCGTGTTTTGCCTTCCCGCCGTCCCTGCGTGCACTGACAGCTCCTTGTTTGCATGGAGTCAAGTCCCAAGGGCCAAGGGCTCCAGGAGTCTGTTTAGCCCCCTGCCCCTGAGGCAGAAATGCCCATATATGGATTCAAGACCCGCTGTACACAAAGCTCTAGCTTTACCCATCCCCCATAACCATTCTCGCCGTCGGTGTTCAGGTCAGCTCCAGAAAACGCTCAAAAGAGAGCTGAAAGGAAAAAATACCCAGTCTCTGCAACTTTTTTTAAAGTAATAGTGTGAACTTTTATATAGTTTTTGAACATGAGAAGAGAAAAAGGAGAACCGCGCATGTAAACAGCACGGAGTGTGAATTCCTAGAACCCAGAGGAAGGTCAGGCCAGAGCGAAAAGTGGCAAGGACCTCTCTCTGTGCAGCTGGACAAGGACTATGTGCAGCCTGGATGTGTTACTTTTCCCTTCAAAAGTTTCACTTCCTCGTTTACAAAAGAGAGGGCATAATCCCTATGGTGTAAAATTGTTGCAAAGACTAGAAACAGCAGACTAAGAGTGGCCAGGCTGTAAAAAGGTCAATTTTAAAAGGTTACTCCCGGGTGACTCCATTTATAGAACATGCTTGAAATGGCAAAATTAGACAGATGGAGAACAGATTAGTGCTTGTGAGGAGCGGGGGGCAGGGGACTGGGAGAGTGCTGGCTATGACTGTAACAGAGTACCGGGAAGGGTCCTTGTTCTGTACCTTGACTATGGTGGCAGTCACGTGTGATAAAACCCGCATAGCAGGCTCACACACACACACACACACACACACACACACACACACACACGAGTGCACGTAAAGCCTATGACATTTACGTAAGGCTGATCATTGTATCAATGTTAATTTCTTGACTTCATAGTATAATACTATCATGCAACACTGGTTATCAATGGAGGAAACAGCGTCAAGGGATCTATAATTATCTAAGAAAGTGTTTTTTAAAGCTCATCACTTTTTTAAAAAGTGCCCTGCTCTGTAAGTGGCCTATTGGACAAGTAATGGTCTTACCTATAGACCAGAACTGTGAATCCCTGCTTCTGGCTTTAGATTAGAGAGGAGACATTGAGCACAGTGCCTGAGTCAGGACACTCCGTGGGGGGCTGGGGGGGTGCTGCGGGAGGCAGGGCAATGCTGGCTATCACCGCCATCATCTTTGGACCCCAGCCCCTCAAAACCTCACCGATATCCACGCAAAATACAAATACTCTTTATATAACCAATGGAGAAACTTACAGGAATCCATTTACCACAATAGGCAAAGAACAGATATTCTGTCTCTGAATAACAAACACATATACACTATATACATAAAAGTCCTATGGAAAGAGACAGAAGAATACTTTCGTGATCTAAAGCAGCATGTTCCAAAGTGTTACCCAAGAAACACTAGTCCCTGAGATGCTCCCCCCCGCCAAAAAAAAAAACGTCAATCAGTCAATCAATCATCCATGGTCAAATAAATTTGGTAAATGCAGCATACAATGTCTCCCTCTGAAGTTTCAGTTAAAAAGAAAATCCCTGGCTCTGGGCTGATGGCTCAGAGCCTGGAGCCTGTTTCCCATTCTGTGTCTCCCTCTCTCTCTGCCCCTCCCCTGTTCATACTCTGTCTCTCTCTGTCCCAAAAATAAACAAACATTGAAAAAAAAATTAAAAAAAAAAAAAAAGGGGGCGCCTGGGTGGCGCAGTCGGTTGAGCGTCCGACTTCAGCTCAGGTCACGATCTCGCGGTCCGTGAGTTCGAGCCCCGCGTCAGGCTCTGGGCTGATGGCTCAGAGCCTGGAGCCTGTTTCCGATTCTGTGTCTCCCTCTCTCTCTGCCCCTCCCCCATTCATACTCTGTCTCTCTCTGTCCCAAAAATAAACATTGAAAAAAAATTTTTTTAATAAATAAATAAAAAGAAAATCCCTATCCAACTTCATTTAATCTGTTTTTCCCCAAATTTACTTGTTCACAAAATCATTTTTATTATGCCTACTGGCGTCCTGAGAAAACACTCCCAAGATCTAGGATTTTAAGTGTCATTCTACATCATTCAGCTACTCAATTTCTTCAGCCATCACGTACTTCAGGAAAGACACAGATGGTTTCTCTCCAGCCTGTGCAGTGTGGTCTTACTGTGCACAGCTGGATTTCAGTAAACGTTTGCTGAATTTGATTCAACGCAAGTACACTTCCAGGATGACAAGTCCGGGGACGGGAGAAGCGACCACTCCTGGTTTCTTTGAAACACCTCACTTAGTTGAGAACACAAAAGTGCTCCTTTTCTGGAAGTCTCTGGAAGTTTCTCCAACTTTCAGAGGCCAAGGATTTCCACTATGCCAGTGTCTCTTCCCGAGGGGCAGCCACTCACAGCCGAAACAGCGGTTTACGTCGTGAGCTGATAAGAAATAAGCTTACGGGAATAGGCTCATGACCAAAAAGGTCATGACTCAAAACTACAGACCTTGAAATTCCTTTAGCAGGAACACACAGTGTTTCATACCAAAAATAAGGAAAGGGCTCTAATTATACTTTCCTGGAAGAGGTAATGAGTTAAAAGTCTTACCATTGCAGGGGTTGGGGGGGGGGGGTGGTGGTGCCTGGGTTGCTCAGTCAGTTGAGCTTTTGAGTCTGGATTTCAGCTCAGGTCATGATCCCAGGGTCGTGGGACTGAGCCCAGCGTTGGTTCCCCACTGAACATGGAGCCTGCTTAGGATTCTCCCTCTCTCCCTCTGCCCCTCTCCTCTGTTCTCACTCTTGCTCTGCCAAAAGTCATATCATGAAGATGACTTAAGCTTGAATTTATTTTTTTTTTAATTTTTTTTTTCAACGTTTATTTATTTTGGGGACAGAGAGAGGCAGAGCATGAGCGGGGGAG